CGTTACCCAACCCTCCCGACACCTCCACCCCCACACGCTACCCAACTCTCCCGACACCCCGACCCCCACGTTACCTAACCCTCCCGACACCCCCCGCGTTACCTAACCCTCCCGACATCCCCCACGTTACCCAACCCTCACATGGCGCACTCCCCCGAGAGACCCATCACTTATTGATGACGCCCCATTCAGAGTGGAAAAAGGTCAAGTCATCACACACAAGGCGATAATGAGAAAATAATCTGACAAGGTTCCGAGCCGCTGGGGGAGAATCGTGTTCACACCAGCTTCTCAATTTTTAATGAAGCTCATAATGGCCTGTAACATTATGTGGCTGTGTCTATTAGCTAGGCTCGGTTAGGTCCAGTTCGCGGGCTTCGGATCAACTCCCGTTTCTGTGGAACAGAGGAAGATTGCTATGTTTCTGTCCAATTTTTTTTATTTACATCTATCTACCTAAGAAGAAGAAGAAACTACCTACATCTCTCTCTTTCTACATGTATCTCTATCTAGATGTATCTCTCTATCTACATCTCTCTCTCCCTCTCTCTGTCTCTCTCCCTCTTTCTCTCTCTCTCTTTCTCTCTCTCTCTCTCTCTCCACCCATCCAGCCCCAGCCCCTACCACACACACACACACACACACACACACACACACACACACACACACGCACACGCACGCACGCACATACTCGCTATTTACATGTTCCGAAACTTACTTATGGAGGTAGGAAAAATATGAGTGTTTTAGGCCTATAAATAAATGGAATATACTGATGTCGATATACATTGTATTCAAGCCACCTGGACCGTTTTCAACAAGCAATGACAGAGAGAAATTTGATACGGTCGCAATGTCCAGTTTGCGGTGGGATTATCATATTGTCGTTCCGAAGGGAGATAGAAGTGAAAGTGACTTTATTTGGCAGATTGTGATGATCATGAATTAATATATTAACATTATAACTTAATTATCTGGTGTTGCAAGTCGGTCACGCGACATAGGACCTCCCGCCCACCGGACAACCACCGTTCAGCGACCAACATGGAAGTGATGTGACCGTTGCTTTTATAATAAAGGGTTAATGCTCG